GGGGGGGGGGGAGGGAAAGGAGGATTACGAGATAATTAGCCGAAAAACAACAGACAGATGACAATCGAAACAATAAAGCAAACAGACGATATAATCAAAAGGGGTAATATTGAGTGGGAGTGGGAAGAGGAAGGAGGCTCACTTTCAATCATATCGCGGATGGCTGTGTTAAGCTCTTTGTCCAACTTTGTCATCTCTAAATCGGGACTCGGTACGTTGTCAAGCCCAACTATTAGCATTGTCATATTGTCTCTGCTACCCTGTAAACAGAAATTGGCAAATCAGACACAATAACAAAGATGATTGCTCAAAGAGCAAGTAAAGCCATTGTTAAAAACTATGCAATCAGGTCCGACTATTGTTTAAAAAAGTCAACCTATCTACATGCAAACAAAATAAGTTGGACCTCTCCACTACAAATCAAACTCATTAAAGTCCGAATGAAAGCGGACAGGAGCTATAGATCGGAAAAGGATTTGATGTCTGTCAGTTGTTTACATTCCCTATACTTAAGAGTTTTTATCAGAATATTGGATCTATTAACGACCAAAACAGTTCACTAATGGTAAGATAATGGTAGTATCTCATTCTCTACCGATTTAATAACATCCATAAATTTGACTTTAAAGGACACTAACATAAAATGAATTGAAATGTAAACGTAAAGGGTGGGAAACCCATCATCAAGATCATTGCTGTTATGATACCTTGAAAAGAGAGGTGTCAATGGTTTCTTCGCAGGCTTCGGAGAGGGAGCATGAGCACTTGAGTCGTTGGATGAGATATTCACAGAGGTCCTCATTGGAGAATACATCCCAGACACCGTCACAGGCGAGCACAAGGATTTCGTCTTCATTGCGTACCCGTGCTATAGCAGTAACATCTGGCTCTGGGGAAACCAATTGCTCTGATGCCGACTGACCCTTCGTCTGCTTGTAGTCAAAGTCTCCTAGGGCTCTGGAATAATAGAGATATTTTTCAATCCGCGGAAGACAAAATGTTTAAAATGTTTGACGGATTTAAGATATGCCTACCACATTGTGAAAGAGGAATAAGAACGAATTTTAGCCACGATAATAATCAGGAGCATTCAGCAAAAAAATGTGAAAAAAGATGCATGTTTGATTTGACCTATCAAGGTTGGAACTACAAAATTGTGAATATTTGAAAAATTGTGCATATGAATAAATTGACTTGGGCTCCATTACAAATGATAATCGAATTCAAATCGCGTTGAAATGAAATTCGAGGTAAGTTCACATAAACATCCTATGGTCTGCAATACGGCACATAAGAAACCCTGGAAATTCATTTAGCTGAATTATGTTTAACATAGATACTACAGATTCTAAATTTGAAGGAACAAACCTATGTCGTGATTTTATCACCGAAAATGAGGCTTCGGGTAGAGTTGAGAGACAAATTGTGCCTTGAGAACAGAAGAGATTTACATACCGGCTTCAAAGTAATAAAGATACTAAGGAGATAAAATACAGCAAGTGAATGATAGGCGTAAAAAGGAAAGTAGACTTATTGAAATAGAATAGAGGGCCAAGCACAAAGAAATAGGGCCGTACACGAGATAGATGACGTAGTCGTTATCCGATGAACTGGGTTACCAACAAGTCACATGGGTTCAGATAGCGCACAGGAACGCACTCGCACACTGACACAACACAATATTTCAGCGCCTGACTAATAAGGCACCTAACCACCCACGCTCGCACGAAAAGAGCGCGTTTCAGATTGAACGACCTTGAGATATAGTTAGCACCAAATATAAACTAATAAACCTCACAGAGATGATGTAAACCACAATGACGTAAGTAGTAACCCTTCAAGCACTCACTTACACACAAGCACAAGTCAATAAAGACGACATACCGAGAGACAGCAAGAGAGCCATTGACTCGAGAAAGAATAACATGACCCCCTGCGTCTGTGATCCTTCTGTGTTCTTTTGGATTGAGAGGTTTATGATCTTCAGTGCTGAAGGCAACTTTGCCGCCCTTGATAAGAACACTCCTTGAGTCCCCACAGTTTGCAATGAAGTAGTGGGTAGGGGAAACAAAAGCAACAACTGCTGTCGAGCCAGATTTCTCCGTAGGGGTATCTTTTAAGATGAATTCATCAAAAGCCATGAAACCCTCCACAATGCCAGCTTTTATTTCCTCAATAGCACCATGTTTTTCTGTAGATGCAACAAGTTCTTTAAATATAGGGGTAGAAAGGATATGATCTAGTAGATGTTTTGAGCATAATTCAGAAACATTAGAGCCCGCATGACCGTCGAATACACCAAAATAGGACCAGGTTTTTAATTCACCAGAAAGGGCAGTTTTAGCGACATGTGCATCCTCCATTTCCATTCGCCAGCCTTGCATACTGGATACACCGAATGCAATTCCATTACCCTTACCAGATTCAGTTTGTTTACGGGTATTTGGTTTATCCAGAAAGGCACCCATTTGCTAAATAACCTATGAAAATACAACACAGGGGAAATTACAATAATTGCAATCACGTGACAAATAACTAACGATTAAGCAAAGTAACCTAAAACTATCTATGCAACCATCAGAAATTCACTAACAATGGATTAATCATTGCCATGTAAAAGGCATGATACATTAGTAATAAGCATACGATAAAATTCGAAAGTAAATTTAAATTAGTGTCCTAGAGATAAATTATATAATTAGTAATTGATCAAGCTATTTTGTCGCATAAGAAGATTTAAATTCACCATGCTGAAAATATTTAAATATAACGAAGGAAAATAAAGCACTATCCTGGATGATAAATGAACAATAAATAAATAAAATAGAAATTGCGAAAATCGAACAAGGTAACCATACCTATAGGCTTAAATTTAGCTTCTCAACATGCCCGCTTAAAGAAAAATTTGTTCATTAGAAGATTTCAAAGTTAAATTTAAATTATTCTCTTCATATTATCTTATATTAATAGTTTAAAAAATAAATCTTTTTTAAAAATATTATTAATGGTCTATTTTGTTGTTATCAATACATTGGTTGCGTTAGAAATAATTTTAAGCCCAAATATTAACTTCGAAGCGATAACCATGTCCAATTATTGTTTTGTCTTAAATTTCAAAATGGATGAATAAATATTCGTGTGCTATACTGTCTGCAATTGATATATCGTTGCCCATATTCTTTAAACTTGATAACTATATGCAATTTGTTTGCAACATTTCCATTCCGGATCTCTTTTTACTAAATACCTCTTCATATCAAGCGCGTAATTTTGCCTAATTTTTTTTTGTTCAAGTAGAATAGGTGTTTTCGTTGTATTAAATATTGAATTTCAAATATTATTCAACACCCTGTAAGCTGCACGAGAATAGGTGTTGAATATCTTATAAGCAGTATTGATACTGAGCGAGGTCATTCTAAACCTTGAAACACTTTATTTTAAGAAAGAAACAGGGGTATTCATATTTGAATTTGTTTGCTTACGTATAGACGAAATAAATTTCAACACCAGATTTTGCACAACTTCTGTTCAGTTGAAAGTGTTATTTATATACCATAAAGTTTCTTTATAAGTGAAAAAAGGAATGTACAAAATGTAACCAACAATTGTTTATTTACATAGTATAATTGAATTATAGCTTCAGTGCATAGGTTGGTATCTTAGGGAAAATAAGAAGCAGCCTCGTCAAAGTAACTTGATGGAGGAAGTAATAAGTTAAGAGGAGCCTTGAGGCAACCTTCAAAAGGTGCACCAGAATGTCGTTTAGTTGATATTCTTGGAAGTTTTGCGTGGTCAACTGGAAGCGGTTCCGTCAGAAAATAATCATGCAGAAGAGCCTAGAAACAGAATGAAATTCTGCGATTCTACACGCATTTAAACGAAAGATAGTTGTTGGTCAATGGAAAAAATATGAATGAATTCAACTATTTAAAATTTAATTGACTGTTTCGAATATTCAGTAATTGTAAATACATTATTGAAAAGTAAGTCTTCCGCCGTTGTAAGGCAAATATTTGTGAAAGACTGAAAGATTTCTCAAACTAAAAGCCATTTATCACCTGTGCGTATTAGTTTTAGGTTATGTTAATAATAATTATAAGATTTACTACAATGGCGACTAAAATACTTTAAAACTGGATTAAAAATATCCAGACAAATATGCACATTTGCCCTTTTATACCAGTATATGCTAATCTCACCCAGATTCCTTCATAGATGAGGCTTGATTTGACTCCCCTAACTGCTTTAACCATGGTCAAACCAATTTTAATCTCAACTTAGTTTAGGCAGGAATCATAACTTAAATCAACGAAATTCATAAATCTTTTAATCTGCCTACCTTTATGGAAAATGATCCAAAAAGGCTGTCTAAATAGTATCTTTGGTACCTTCACTGTATCTAATGGAACTATTGGAATAACAAGAACGGACTTCACCAATTTTGAAGTTAAGACTAACATTTTGCAGCTATTGGTAGCCAACACGGTCCCAAGTCAGGCAGAGCACTACAAGGTGGGTGCTAACCAATTAGGTTGGAGGGAGGGGGGAGGGGGAGAAAGAGCACAGCAATCCCATAGGAAGTCATTCTACGGACTAATCAAAATTCGACTCATTTGATTGTATAAAATACTTAAAAGAAATTGATTTTGTGAATTGCTTTTCGATTAAAATAAGTTTCAGTAAATATTTGAAGTATTCGGCTCTCCAGATAGGAAGCGTTGTCGGAAAAAGATCATTCAATCCCAAATGAAAGTGCACGGTTCAGAGGTTTCATCCATGTACCTAACGTTCAACACAATTGTCTTAAACGTCTGAATCATTTGATAAAAGTCTTTCGAAATACAAAATGCTATAAATATTATAGTCCTCACGGGGTGCGCGATAGACTTACCTCCTCGTGGTGCACCCTGGACAACGTATTTTCTTACGGCAAAAAAGTCTATCACTCGGCATTCGTTTTTGACTTCGATTAATTATGATTAGCTTTAAAAAAGGCTATAAGAAAAATCGCCCTCGTCAGGGCGAATCACAACGTCTTCAGATCCTCCAGTGGAATGCTGGAGGAATGTCTCCAGACAAAAAGATCCAAGTACAGAAAATCCTACAAACCTATGATGTAGACATTTTCACAATTATGGAAGCTAACATTTCGGATGACAAACTGAAGTACTACCAATTCCCAGGTTACACCCTGTACAATCTACCTAAATACCGGCAAGTTGCAAGTGGAATTCTAACTGGAGCAAAAGGAGGCCTCACCTCACACTACGACCTAATCAAGAGTATGGGCTCGACACAAGACAAATGTGAAATAATCAGATTAATTGTTTGGAAATGTCAAAACCAATTCAAGATATATGCAGTCTATAATCCACCCCAGAATTGTCCAAACTTTGACTTTCTGAACATCTCACACAAAACTATAGTATTAGGAGACTTCAACGCCCACTCCACCAGATGGGGCTACAAGGATACAAACATAGCTGGTAAGGAAATTGAAGACATACTAAACAGCAACATTCTGGAACTTATTTATAGCAATGAGGATCCGGCTACATATTTGCACTACAATGGAACCAGAACAACTCCTGACTTGCTCCTGGCTTCAAGCGACATCAGCATACACGCAGCAAAATAATTGACGATCCTGGTTCTGGTCACAAACCAGTCATTGCTAGTATTACCATCGGCAGCAAAAGCATGTCAAGGAAAGTGCCAACTAAGCTATCATGGAACTTCAAGAAGGCTGACTGGCCTAGATTCACTAACCTTTTAGAGGATGAACTTCAATCAAGTCCCCTCAACTTCAAACAACATCCTGACAAACTTTGCACTGCTATCAGATGTGCAAAGAAAACTATTCCCCGAGGCAAAACTAAACACTATCGAGTGTTTTGGTCTAAACACCTTGAGCAACTGAAAAGAAAGAGGAACGCCCTTCGCAACACTCCTGATCAGACTGGAAGAACGGAAAACGTACAAGTCTGGAGACGGCAGNTCTAATACAGAAAGCCATAGAACTGAAGAAAGCGTTACAAATCGATGATCAACCAAAAAGCCTCTCTCTCCCCATGAACCCATTAGCAGACATTGATGTAGTGTGTTGCACCCAACTGCTCGACTTCTTCAGGAAATCAAACACTCCTCCAGAGCAAATGCGCTCACTGGCCCTTGAGACAATCAATGTCAACTATCCTGGAGATCAATGGCTCCAAGTCTTCACTGATGGGTCATACATAGAAAGCCAAGCAAACGTTGGTGCAGGTATCTATTCTGAACTCTTCTCTTTCTACGCAGCAGCGGGACATAATAGATCCGCTTTTGAAGGAGAAATAGAGGCTATTAGGATAGCACTATGCCAATTATGTTGCCTGGATACGAAATTCACCAAAGTGGTGATACTTTCGGACTCACAGTCAGCAATAGACTCTATTGGAAACAGATAGACACCCAAAACAGCTGAGATAAAGGAATGTAGAAAACTCTATCAGCTGCTGAGAGAGAAAAACAAAACAGTGGTCTTACAATGGATTCCTGGTCACTGTGGCATTAAAGGCAATGAGATTGCTGACACACTTGCTAAGAAGGGGACAACGATTTTGCAATGCATGGGCCGCCTGTCTTTCCACACAATGAAGGCCTTAATCAGGAGAGAATTCCAGACCTCAAGGTTCAACGAACTCAAAGCTCGAACAAAGGAGAAACAGTGGACAGTGGCACTCTCCGACATACGCGACTGGCCAAGAATCGAAGCCGTTGCTGAGTTTAGACTACGTACCGGACACGATTGCCTGGCAAAACACCTTCACAGATTGGGAGTATACACTCGACCCACATGCCCTCTATGTAACCTACATGAGAAAATGGAGAAGACCCACCTGATTCGGTGTCCAGCCCTAAAAACAATGACGGAAAGCCAAAGATACTGGGAAGCAAGAAGACTGCTAATGAACTGCTATAAATGTACCCCCCCCCCTCTCTTGGGGGGAAGCTGAAGTCAAAGATTAAGGGCTAATGATAAATATCATAAAGCCTGCCATTTGAAATAAATAAATAAAATAAATTATAGTCCTCACAGAAAACATGATTTTCTTAAAAAAATAGGAAGGATCACTCCAAGATTCTACTACTTTTAAGCATTATACGAGAATTTTGTACAATTGATGTCTGTTGTCATATGCTCAGAATGTTCAATTCCAGTTGGTGTTACAACTAACTAATGGAAAGAAAAGGGCAGAGTGAAACAAAACGAATCACCTGAAGAAGGACCCAATAGAATTGATGAGACCCGTTGTGATCTAACTCCAATTCAAAAGTGTATGAAAATCAAGAAAAGGCGGCTGAAAATGAAAAAATTCTACCATATTTAATATGAGTAAATAAACCCCTTTATTATTCAGGTATCATTTAACCGGTAAAACAAAATTGGATAAATGACTTCGTATTATCTTTTGAAGTAAAGATAGTGGAAATAAAACTACATTCTAAAATTTTAGTATGAATTCAAGCAGTATCATTTAGGCGGTACCTTGAAAAAACTTGACTTGGCCTTTAGATAATCATGCAAATATTGAAATAATTTACCGTTTCGGCGGAAATTCTTTTACTCTGATCGTAATTCAAAAACTTTTTCAAAAGATCAACTCCCAAGGGAGAAGGAGAGAGCAGAATTTCCTCCAGGGCAACTGGTTTACAACGATTGAAGGTTATCTTATTATAATCCGGCAGACGACTTAATCCCTAGATCAAATATGAAATTTTTTTATGAAAATAGTGGGAGTTAAATCAAAATAAAATATATATCTGATATACCTACCGGCCAATTTTTCTCTGTTGGTGTGCCCAATACACGAATGACGAACCATAATTGTTCAATATCGTTTTCGCCCTTACAAGGCAAATAAAACTAAATTTCAAATTTACCGGGAAAATAGGCGAATTGTTAATAAGTTCACCAAAAATACACCCAACTGCCCTAAAGGATTTTATTATCAAAAGATGATGGTGACATACCACAAATCAACACTTTTGGAATAATGTCTTGCACCATACAATAATTCAGGAGATCGATACCAACTAAATAGGTTAAATTTCTTTTCTATGCGTACCGAGTGGCGACCTGATGGCTGTATAGTCTGTTTTTATCATCCGAAAATAATCTTGCCAGACCAAAGTCCGCAATTTTTAAAACACCACAACTATCAATAAGCAAATTAGCAGGCTTCAGATCCTGAAAAATACAACTGTAAGCAAATATCTGAGCAAACTCTATGCATTATACTATTCGAGTGCAAAAAGCTAACTCCTCGAAGAAGCATAAGCATGTAGGTTTTTATTTGTCCTTCACAAAGACGAGATTCTATAGATCGGAGAATTTCACTTAAATCAGATAGCATGCAGTCAAAAACGAGAGTGAATCCCATTCCATGAGGAAAAAATTCATGTAACCTCACGATATTAGGGTGAAAAGAAGTAAGTTGAAGTGCCTTGATTTCTCTGAAAAATATGTCTAGGATTTGAATGTAATTACCTTATGGCTGTGTGAGGTATACCATCATCGACATTTCTTAATTGTATCTTCTTAAGAGCTACTAATCTTCCTGTCTAAAATAGCTAATTTCTAAATATATATAAAATCTACATCTTTGTGCCGACCCTTAAGAACTACCCCATGAGCCCCTTCTCCAATGCGAGAAAGTATCACATACTTGTCCATTTAAATCGGGGACTATTTATATACGACAGGAGCAGTTTGCATCGAATTAATATAACAAGGTTGAATGCATTGCCTAAGTAATAACACGAAACTCTCAATTAATTCCAATATTTTGAGAATTTTATTTAAAAAATTGATCTTAAAAACATGTACAAATATTCACGATCAAAACTGACAGCAGTTTCATAAATGCATATAGTAAAGTATTGCCCTCATTTTAAGTGACTATATTAAGCCAACTAATAATTTATTAGCACTGTGTAGAAATTTATATAAATAATGACCAGGTTTTTTGCATTAACTTCCATTTTTTGATGGGATTATTGCTTCTAATATGTACTTGTTAACAATGACTCAAAGTGGGCTTTGCAAATTTTTATTTCATTATCATAAAAATTTAACAAATTTTTTTTTCAGAATCTCACTTTCAACTTGATAGTGAATTTTAAACTGTGAAAAAGATATTCTCAAGCACTGGGAGTAAAGTTAAAAAATATTTAGTTCATAATTTCTCGCATACACCTGCACTTATTGATATTCATCATTTTGTCCCCACTAGGCAGTATGCATCATTGAAATGCTTTTAAAAAAGTTATTTTTGTTAATCCACACAAAAATTGAACTTTACCGAAGTCAATATTTTGAAGTGGATTTAGTTAAAACAAGTTTCTAGAGTCATCAGATGTCAATTAACGACTGGCTATTAAAAGTGCGTGGGGGTAAAACCTCCACTGAAAAATGAGCCAGTGGTTAAGTCGAATTTATATGGAAATTTGCACAGTAATGCAAAGGCATGTAGGACGAGAAATAACTGACATCTAACGAAGAATTGAACCGTATAAATCTTATTTATTTGCCAATAAATTGAGATATCTTTCCGAAAATCTTCAACTGATCTAGGTATATAAGTGACTCAACTTACTCCACCATTTCGACCCGAATATTTTAATGTCGCAAGAATTCACCAATCTAACTGGCGTTGGTATAGAATTCAGCATACAAATTTTTAAAGACAGATATCTCAAGATCAATGCCGATCGGTCCAAATAAGAGTGCGTTCTTCCCAGCAAATTGAACTGTTTTGCACACTTCCCCTTATAAAATATGGAAGTTAATGAAATCATAAAATTAGCAATTGCTACAAATTTTACCTTTGCAGTAATATTATAACATACTGAATTCTCAACTAACTTTTAGGAATGGCAATTAGCGAATCATTGAAAAAAAGATGCGAAGAAATGGAAAACGATAAATATTGAGTTTTATTAAATATGGACAATTTATAAAGTTAAATAGAGTTTGTAACAGGAATTTCCATCAATTACTAGTCTTACTTTCGACAATTATTTAGTTTCTCTTTGACGACGAAAAGCTAGGTTTTACGATAAACGTCCCAATATGCATTATCACTCAAAGCATCCATATGTCATATCTGAAATAACGGATATTAATCTAACATTTCCTGAATAGGTTGCTCAATTTCTCATCTAGAGATATTGATGTAGAGTCAATGCAGATTCCTTGACAATGGCAACTAAAACTTAGTCATTCGGAAATAAAAGACATCAATGAAAGTTCTGGGAAGATGAATAGAAGATCTCACACCCACTGAAATATCGATGTTTGGACTTCTACGATAAGAATTTGATACATAAGACCAACGATCAAGAAGTCATCCCTGATTGGTGCATTTTTTTAAAATTTTTTTCTTATTTTTAAACACCAACGCGTGGCTTGGTTTTTTTAGAGAATCGCTAACATTTTTAGCCAATTAAGGTACACGTATCCAAAGTGACACTTGGGAAAATGAGTAGAGATAGATTACTTTTCTTTGTAAGTTCATGAAAGAGTATTCAAAAGTGCTCGATTTTCCTAAAAATACTATTGCTAAATGGGTACAAATGTCTTCCTAATAACGAAAAGCGTATTTACTGCAATCATACCACTAATTTTATATTGGAGCGTTCAAAATGAGATTTTACGCCTCGGTAGATGTGGTGATAATACTCAGTTGTATCAGCATCTTCCCTGCCGTTTTACTTGAGATGGCGGCTATAATTAGATGTAAAACGCGGATACTAACATGGTGGCACTACTAATTCAATAGCCTAGCTAGTTGATGGGGATTGCTTTGCGATTTTATCATTTAATAGGATGAAAAATTAATCAGTGAGAGTGGTATGCATTGATGAATTCCAAACCCATTAATTTGATAGAATTTGAGAAAGCACTAAATTGCTTCAATACCGATGCAATAGATTTTTAGAAAATTATATTGAATTAGGGATGTAACTCATCCCATATTAGAACAAATTATTCCAGCAACAGTGGAAGTTATGAAAATTGGGCTCCATATAAGTTAAAAATTTATGAAGCTATTGATTAATCAATAAATTTGGATTGCCTTTAAGGCCAATTGCATATGTTTTTTGGGTAATGTCTGCTTAGAATTAATGAATTTTTCGTAGTTCCATTCCCAATTACATCATTTCCTCCAACGTCTATAAGCATTTTCTTTCACTTATAATCGTAAATATTTCACTATTTATTTTATATTTTGATTGTGCTATATGTGGTCATGGTTTTATTTTATTTTTGGTCCTCTAACCAAAAATGATAATAGTTTGCTATTTCCTGTACTCTAGGAAGCAGACCCCAGAATATCCAGTAGAGGCGTCATTTAAATTTTATTAAATATTATTTAAAGTTTCAAATCAAAATTTACTTGAAAATTTTATTGAAATTACTTACTGATTGTGTTTAGATGCATCAACGTTTAGATGCATGAACGTTCGAACCACAACAATGAGCTCAACCAATCATTGTTAGATGTTGGGCGCGCATTTCAGTTGATTGGGTTGGTTGCGTTGAGTATGGTGTTCGTTTATCGAAAGTTATTAGCTCAAGCAAGGTTATTCCCTACAATTCGGAAAGGATTTCACGTCACTCCGTCCTATCGTTATTACATTGAAGGGTCACTCGAACCTTTTGCACCAGTCCCGGGTCGATTTCCTCAGTGGGCGACAACTGCGGAGGCGGCTTTCGGTCACTTAAAGGATGGCGCAAAGGTTTTCGTCCATGGAGGCGCTGCTACACCTACCTTACTTGTTAATGAATTGCATAACTATGTTATGAGTAATAATATTAAGGATGTGCAACTTCTTCACATTCACACTGAGGGTCCATTTCCTTTCAATGATCCCGAATGTGTAGGTCATTTTAGAACGAATTCTCTCTTTACGGGTGCTAACTGCCGACAAGCTATTAATGAAGGTCGGGCGGATTTCACTCCAATCTTCTTGAGTGAAATTCCTCTTCTATTTCGTCGAAAACACATTGAGTTGGATCTTGCTATCATAAGTGTCACTCCACCTGATAAACATGGATTTTGCTCACTCGGTCCCAGTGTTGACGTCACTAGATCTGCTATTCAAAATGCCAAATTCATTGTTGGTCAAGTTAACCCTCATATGCCGCTTACTCGCGGAGATGCTAGCATTCATGTTAGTAATATTGGAATTTTGATGCATGGTCCCCAGCCTCTCCATGAACTTAAAGCTAGAAAAATTAGTGAAATCGAACAGCGAATTGGAAAGTATATTGCTGAGGATCTGGTACCTGATGGGGCTACAATGCAAATGGGTGGGTTTCTGGACTGTATTCACTTCTAGTAACTTCATATAAATTGCTTATTCAGATGATATTTTTTCGTTGCAGGCATTGGATCTATTCCCGATGCAGTGCTCTCACAGCTCACTTACCATCAGCATCTGGGTGTCCATACGGAAATGTTCTCCGATCGATTGGTTGATTTAGTCAAACTGGGTGTAATTACCAACTCCATGAAAAAGATGCGTCCAGGCAAGATTGTCACAAGCTTCGTGATTGGAACTAAAAAGTCCTTCGATTTTCTGGACAACAACCCATTCGTTGACATGTGTGATATCGCTTGGGTTAATTCACCAGTCATTATTGCCCAGAATCCGCGTCCCATGGCTATCAACTCATGCATTGAAGTGGACATTACGGGGCAAGTTGTGTCCGATTCTATTGGCTCAAAAATCTATTCTGGTTAGTTATTTTAACAATTATCATGGTCCATCGGTTCTTTAGTATTTATTCATCTGGGTTTCATTCCTTAATAGCGTCAACAATTTCTACATCACACTTTTCTTTTATCAATCCTTAAAAGTATACAATTTATGAAATTATGATTCACGTACACAACTCTGAATATTACTGCAGCACCTTGTTGATGATGTACAAGTAAGCTAGATTCAGTCTAGAAACCTTATTCTTGCTATCTTGCTAAATTTAAAGGATACATTATGCGATTCCCAACATTGAGATACCCCCCCCCCCACTGAAAACCGCTGTTGAACGAATTTCCCGTTAAAATCTTCTCAAAAATTGGTTTCGTATCAGTGCATCCAGGTTGAATCAAGTTTGTTTCTTTAAATAATTTTAATTGAAAAAAGAAGAGTAAACAACAGTAAAGGTAATTGTCCTATGTTGAAACCGGTATAAACAGAAAATTGCTATCCAAATTCATTTATTGAGAAGGCAGTAAAAACCTGGCTGTGTTGCTATGATAAATGACATGAAGAGGTTAAATATTACACAATATTCTTTAAAGAATCCATTTGAACTTATAAAGTTGCATATCTCTTCAATCGGGAATTTTTGGGGCTCTTTCTGCCCGTTTTTATGACATGACTCATGGGTGAACGTCTTAGTTTTGTGTCAGAATAAAATTTACAACCACATTTATTGATTTTAATTTAAATAACTTTGGTAGCGTCAATTCTGCTGCTGGTTTGTTTTTCGCACCGTAAGTCAGGGTAACTGAGACGTTGACTACTGCTTCGATTATATTTCTTATATTAAACTCTGGCATTTGGCTTGGACATTGTTCGAACGGGAACTCATGTCCTATAAGTAGGCCCTATGACCTACAATAGGGCATATGTGGACACGTTCTGCTCTTAAATGTTAATTTGAAAATGACAAACGAAATTGGTGTCTATCTGGTATTTCTTTGTCATTCAATGATTAGTCGCCTGCAAGATTTTGATCCTCGTAAATAGCCTATCTACTGGGAGCTATGACATTTGTTCACTATTTTCATGCCTCATTCGACTCTATCTGCGATATTATTTCATTGAGCTCCTGGGTGTATTAAATTTAAGGTGTAATTTAGATCATATGTATATAAATTCGTTTTGAATTATATTTTCTCCATGTTGCATTAGGTGTTGGTGGTCAAGTGGACTTCATTCGAGGCTCTGCTATTTCCATAGACGGGGAGGGCAAGCCAATCATCGCGTTGCCCTCAGTGACCGCAAAGGGTGAGTCCAAGATTGTGCCCTACTTGAAGGAGGGTGGAGGTATCGTCACAACTCGGGCTCACGTCCACTACATCGTTACTGAGTACGGAATCGCATACCTCTTCGGCAAGAATCTTCGTCAGCGGGCCTACGCGCTCATCAACATTGCACATCCTGACCATCGGGAGTCTCTTGAGAAGGCCGCCTACGAAAGGCTCAAAGTCATGCCCTCTCCAGAATAGTCAGAAATTGCCTCTTTTCTCTCCAAGCCCCAAACGTTTTATAGCATGTGTATCTCTGTAAGTAAACTGACTGTGCCTGTTTTTGGGGTAAATTTAAATAGATTTTCAGAAGTTGTTTTACTTTTTTTAATGCCCAATTGTAAGCAAACTGAGAAGTCTAAGAAAACATAGTTTCGTGTCAACAAAAATGATGCAGGAACAAATAGGGGAAACACGTGGGTCGTTAAATAACTGACCGCGTATACATGTTCGTATAAAATAATGCTTTACACCTGTTCGGTTGGCCTGTTTTTTGTTTTATTTAATTAGGGAACTTCAACCATAGAGTAAAATAACGCAAAACGTTGGGTTACTGGTCATCCAAATAACAACGTGGTGTCGTATACCCTATTAATATCTGGTAAACGAGTGTTGCAGGTTCCATAATAATAGCATTCCATAAAGATTCGGAAAATAGGGCACTTTCACAAAGGGGTTCCGGCAATAGGAGGAATTTTTCAGAGCAGAGATGCGAAATAGTTGTGATGATAAAGAAGTTTCAATACCACTACAACAACCAGTTATGACCGAGTGTAGGTGGAGTACCACTTCAATCTTCCTCCAAAAGCGATTGACCTACGTTTTGATAAAGCTGTTAACTTATCCATAGTATTTCGTAGACAGGTGTCGCCTTTCAATGAGAGATGAAATTTTTTGAAGATTGGGTGAGAACTGGGGAACTTTCTAAAATCGCCTAAACAGTGAATTCATAATTAGTCCGAAGTCAACTAAAGAGTCATTGATAACTATCATAAGGC